TAAGTAACAAGGAGCTCTGGGAACGAACAAACCAAGAACCTATCACCCAACAAATATGCAGGAAGAAGTGGAGAGATGGATTGGCCATGCACTGAGAAGGCCGACTGAGGACATCACGCGTCAGGCCCTCGAGTGGAATCCCCATGGGAAGCGACGGGTTGGACGTCCGAGGGTGACATGGAGGAGGTCGTGCGAGGAGGAAATGAGAGCTTGTGGGCTGTCGTGGGACCAGGTTCAAAAGATCTCAGAGAACAGAGGTCACTGGAGGCGTGCTATTGAAGCCCTATGTTCCACTAGGAACCCAAGGGAATAATAATAATAACAATGGACTCTGAGTACGTAAGTGGCAACCAGCACTATGGAGCGCAAAATGGCGTCCAACCCTGCTCGTATGCATGATCGTTAAAACAAAACTTAAAACACCCTAAGCATCCGGAGGCGAGCTAGAGGTTTATTTAGTGAATTTAGTTTAATCTATTTATTTTAGTCCTGGTTGTGTTTTAGTGCCAAGAAGGTGCGCTACAACATGAACAGAAGCATATGAAGTACTGTGAATAAGAAGGCACGAATTAGCATGCAGCCGCTGGTACTTATGGATACAGAAGGGAGCATGTGGTCGAAAAATTGAGCGAAATATTAAGTAATGCTGCACTAAAGTATGCCTGTATTTAATACAGCAAGCCTATGCCACATACTTGGACTAAAAGAGACCTTTACTGCTGTGCAGCGTTTACTGCTTGGCAGATCTTACCTGACTCTTGTTTCGGGTCTCGAGGATGATGGCGTTCATGGAGCAGTTACCATCTGCTGCAGCCATCGGACAATGCAGTGGCAGAAACACGATGATGACACCCTTCCATCTCCAGGATCAATAAATAATCTACTGCTACTTATTGTGACAGATGACAGTTCTGTTCTGTCTGTATCCTGACACTTACCACTTGGCGTCTTATAGGCAAATGATCGTCCTGAATGAACACTTGCATCCGATCTTTTAGATAACCAGGAATCCTTTATGACCCCGCCGGAATTCTCTAATCTTCTCTTTAACACACTTTCTATCTGAGATAACCTCTACCGTAGCCGCTGCCCTGACTTGGTGGTCTGGATTGTGTTTTATGACGATCCCACTTTACTGACGGAACCCCTGCTGCTTAGGCAGCCCTTTATATGGAAAACGTCACTTTCTTGGTGCTTAGAAAAAAGTAGTTACCGTAACACCATAAACGCTACTGTGGGACGGAGGTCCATGGGTAAAGTCCGACCGCTGGCTTGATGAATATGTGACAGGAGTAAGATGTTTCCCGGAGGTGATCTGCAGCGCCAATACATGTTTCTCGTCCGTATATCAGGGAAAGGGTCGGAGAAGATCCCCCCAACAATAGAATACTTCCCTCTATCCCAAGGTACACCACCACCTGCTGTGTTGAATCACAATTGAGTCCAGAACGGATGGACTGAAACCTTATGCTGTTAGAAAGGCCTATGTGGCCGGGATCAGTTAAATGTCCGTTGGGCCCTATGGAAACGCACTAACCCCTCTCTGTCAGGTAATTCGAGAAGAACCAGCCTTCTAGGATGTGGGCAGCTGGGAGATGTCAGTGGCCTTCATACCTGTCGGTACTAACTTTCTACCAGGCTCCAAATTCCTACTCCTCTATCTCTTTTTACGTCCACCGGCCAACATAACATCATCTTTATCCTGTCTAAGGCCTGAAGCTCATGGTAGCCACCTATGTGCATGCCAAAAATGGAGTTATCAACGTCTGCATCCTCCGCCGAATTGGTCAAATAGATTCCCCGTACAGGACTTCGACATCTCCAGTTATAGATGTATGCGTTGTCTACGAAACGTGTACACAGAACCTGAGTGGAACTGTTCCTTGAACCTTACCCACTCAGCATAGTGAATGTGTAACCCTTTTTCTCTGAAGATTTGGTGATCAGTTGTTGCGTGGTCCTGTGGTTCTGTACGCTGATGATGTAAATGCCTGGCGGAAAATTAGGGATTATGGGGATGAAAGTACACTTCTGACGAACTTCAAGAGCTTGTTTGCCTGGTCAGGAAGTGCTTGACGCCTCTCACTGCAGGTAAGCGCGAAAGCTTGCATGTTAGGTACACAGATGGCAACAACTAAGATATTGGGGGGGGGGACTCTTCTACCCTCATTACTGACACTTGATACCTTAGGAGTCACGATAGGCTTCCGTTTCAAAACCACGGCGCACTGTCGATCGATCGCAACACTCAATGGGCAGAGTTCTCGCGAAAATAAGTGACGATAGGTTCAACATCTTATGCAGATCCGGAGTTAGTTCTTGACTAGAAAGCTGTACATGGGCTGTAAATTCTTGTCTGAAAGGTGACTCATACCTCCCAGAAACAGTTCAGAGTGCAGCTACTCGTATAAACATTGTGATGTCTGGGCTGAACCATAAAAATCGACCTATAGGACTGAACCTCTCCTTTTTGTCCTTCCACAGGCATAAGGGAGATCTGATTATGCATTACAAGAATTCTAAGAAATGACCTTTGACCTCATCTATCTTCCCTCCTCCTTCACAATAGGTCCCGGAGGACATGGCATTGGAGTGTGAAAGCAGAGGACGAATGTACTGCTGTTGGAGTACTAGTTTTCGAGTCGAGTTGTTAACTCCTAGTAAAAGTGGTATCCGCATCCTCACGTGACTATTTTTCAGAAGGGGACTTGGCAAGCACAGAGATGTACCAAAAAAGGATTAAAATGGACTCATATATATTTGTCGTCAAACAACTAATCCAGATTTCAATCTTTTTTCAAGAGTATGTAAACGATATATGAATGACCG